ATACCACCTTACTGACAAAGGTCGGTATAGTCAAAGTTTTGGTTTTTCCAGAAGCAAAGAAGGGCTGTGAGAGTTGGACTATAAGGAAAGCTGAGTGCTGCAGAATTAATACTTTTAAACTGTGGTAGTGGAGAAGACTTTTGAGAGTCCCTAGGTACAAGGAGGTCAAATCAGTTAATACTTAAATTAATTCAGAGCATTCATTTAGAAGGTCAAAACTGAAGCTGAAGCTTAAATACTTTTGGCCACATAATGAGAAGATGGGACTCACTGGAAAAGACCCTGATGTTGGGAAAGATTGAAGGCAAAAGGAAAAGGGGACAGCAGAGCATGAGATGGATAGATAATATCATGGAAACAACATGAACCTGGACAGACTTTGCGAGACAGTGAAGGATGGCAGGGCTTGCATGCTATGGAACATGGGGTCATGAAGAGTCGTACATGACTGAACAACAATAACCATCTGGATCTTAGTGACCTCACATCACTCCACTGTGCTGCTGCAGTAAGGCAGGTTCCATGGTTCAGAACGATGAGTCCCTAGTTTAGGCAAGTAAGGGAATGTAGCAGCAATAGGCAGGGACTAGAAATATCTGGCCAGAAAAAAAAAAAATTAGGATATTTAAACAAGATGAAACACAGAGCTAAGGAGTGGTATTTGGACTGAAAATAGGGTCAATGCCAGAATCAAAAGCCAGGAGGCTGAGGAAGAAGCAAGGTCTAGGGTCAAGCTTAAAGGTTCAATATACAGGTAGACAACATGGATCAATTTGGCAGTTAATCATCAAAATGCTATACTGAATGTTTTAGAGGCCTGGAAAGTTTTTTAATGTGTGTGCCTGAGGTGCCAGTCCCACCCTTGAACTTTCTCTAAATTCAACTCTATTGGTTAGATTCCACTGTCACTGCTATTGCTGCCATTTCTGTCCATAATCGTGTTATTAAGAAACAGGGTCTCTATTAGAATAAATATAACCATGGAGAGCAGTATCAACAGACAAGTTGGTAAAAATCCTTGGGTCTCTAGGACAGAGGAAGAGGCAACAGTATTGCCACTACAAAAAGTCTCAGGAAAGACCTAATTTAAGCTTTTATAGTCTCAAATTTGATCTGCTAGGAATCCTATTCATAATTCGCAAACTAATTAACCATCTGTAAAGTTTCTTTTTCATGGACCAATTAATATTAGGTGAGGTATGTTTACATTTTGACAGTATATCTAAATTATTTACAGGGGGAAAAAGGAAATCAGCATGTCACATCAAAGCAAATAAATGAGAATAAGATATATCATATCAAATCAAATCATATCCTAATCAGCATAATAGTTATATTGGTGATAAATCATGATAGATTAGGAAATGGTTAAGATAGAAATAACTGCACTGCAGACAAAGTATTTGAGTAAATTATGCTCACGTGTTTTGGAAAAACAAAAAAGTCTTCCATCTATTAGTCAATAAACATTTATCTAAAAGCAACAGACTGGCCCTATGAATCTACAAACCCTAAATTTTTCCTCATCAAAAAATGAAAATATAATAATCCTTCTAGAAAAAAAGCACAGTTTAGTTTGTATAAAAATCAAATTAAGATTAAGCATTTTCTCAATCCAACTTAGTGCTCACAGCCACAAAGAACCAGAGCCCAAAGTGCCCTATAATGATGAGTTCTACATGACTGCTACTCTTTGTAACATGGAAAATAATTTTTTCCCCAAAGCAATTGTGCTGTCCAAAATTAATAAGATTAACTGTTGCATGACACAGCACGTACAGTACTTCAAAATTATATTAGTTAGATCCTGGGAAAGAGTGATTTTTTTTTATTTTTTAATTAACTTGTCCATAGACTGAGACTCAGCAATCTTTCCACATCTGATCCAGTTCTGTGTCCTTTGCAGTGTTAATACATACAAAACAAAGTCCTTTGTTTCTTATTCTCTTGCCTTAACACTACGGGGTTTTTTTGGTCCTTTTAAATTATAAGAATATCTTTTCAGAATGAGTGGCTAAACTAGGGGTTTTCAATATTTTGCTGTTGTTGTCATGGATCGCTTTGGCAGTGTGGTAAGGCCTATGGCCCCCATCTCAAGAATCATGTTTTAAAATGCATAATATGATATACATAGGATTACAAAGGACACCAATTATATCAAATTAGTTATCAAAATATTAAAAACTGTAAGTTGCCAAATCTCAGGTTAAGAACCCCTGTGCTATATAAGGATTAAAATGTTAGAAAAAACTATGCCTTGTAAAAAGGTTGGTTTGTTTTTATAAAAGATTCTCCACTATAAATTATTCCAAAACACATCACCTCTTCTTCTTTCCCTTTCCCACCCCAAAAAGAAACCTGATATAAATTAATATGTTCTTGCAGGAGAGAGTAGAGGGCTATTTAAACATCATCACTTAAGAACTTCCTTAAGATATTGTTAAGGAAGTGGGAAATTTTAAAAAAAAGTTAAAAGGAATTAAATTTGGATATGTGGAAAATTCTTTGTAATATGGCAGTCATTGAAAACAGCCAGCTTAAGAAAATAAGAGCATCAAATTAAAAAAAAAAAAAGTGTACGTGATGTCTTGTAGACATTAATGTATCTCTTCTAAGGCTAGAAGGCCAGGAATGTATTAAATCCGCTACCTCTGAAAACCAGCAGGTTTAGGTTTATCTAAGTTTCTGTTGGCCTATTTCCCTTCCTATCAGTTGCTAGTACCTAAGGTTTGAAATGGACAAACTCCCTCCCTTGTTCCTATCTATTTGGTTAGAAGCAACAAGGAGAGATGTAAAAGCTCAGAAAACAAAGGGGAAAAATTACTTTTTTTTTCATTTTAGAATGATGAAAAACATAAAGCTTGAGTGATAAAATGCTAAAAATCTTTATGACAAACCATTATTATAGAGCTACTTAGCCATTATTTTCCCCAAAATTTAGTCTAATAATGAGATCTGGATGTAATTACATTATCAGAGTGTATATTGAAGAAGTAGTAAAGAACAACCCACAAGATGCATTTCTGTTTCTCCATAACATTGCTATTTTCATATCAGGTTATGACAACTCAAAAGATTTTTACTGCTTTATGCCCTAATACGGGGCTCAAAGTTCAGGCTCCAGATTATCATGGTGAATAGAAATTTCATCCTGATATCATGTATTTTTGACAGTAATAATTATATAATGGTAAAATATGAATAGACAGATTCAAGTTCCAATATTAAGCCATATGCATTAGAGTATTCAAAGTATTCTAACAGCATGAGATCCTCTCAAAACATAGAAGAACCAGCTGTCCTGTTCATGAAAATAACAAAACAAGAGTTACCTAGATCTATTGCTTTCACTTCCCCGAGCTGCTATTGCTTGTAGACATGAGATGGAGTTAGTACTATATGTCCCAGGTATTGAAATGGCCAAGCCAAGGCATGAGGCACAGTAGTAATGGTGAATAAGAGTGGGGGAAATCACAGATCTTTGCAAGCCTGTTAAATATCATATTTCACATTGCAGAGGACTCAAGCTTATTTCTTCACCATCTGTCGCTCCCCAACAAAAACAACAAAAAAACTCCTCAAAATAAAAACTCAATCATTTTCATTTTCTAAACATCCCAGCAGTCCTGACTTCCCCATGCCATTTTTAGTATTGAATGTGAGGAGTCTACCATTTACTACTCATGCTCTCCCAAGCTGGTAAATCAGAAAGAGTGTATAAACTTCCCTGGGTCTCCCTAACTTTATCCTGGAAAATCCCATATTGAGTTCATAAAGCTTCCTTTAAGAGGTAAGTGTTTTTAATAGATGCTCATCATCTCAAAATATTTAATTGGTGATATTACAATACTATAACAGTTCTGGGATAGATAGGTCAACACTTAAGTAGGCTGGGTCTGCCTGGAAGGTGGTTAATGCTTCTCATAATTCCTACTTTACTTTGGAACCCCCATTTCTCTAAGAGTTCCAAGTTGTTTCTCTTTCCACTTAAGCAATCACTTAAAGTAAGGTAAATCCCTAAGTTTTATGGATTTTATCTTAGAGAATGATGAAGTAAAAATTAAGATCTCCATAGCAGACAAATTAAAGAACAATTATTTACTTTGCAAAAAGGTTTTCAATAGGATTCCTTTGAAAAGCATCTAATGCATTCAAAAGAAATACTTGAAGCAACCTGAATTGGAACAATTTAAATTTATGTTAGAAAACTTTTTTTTTCTGGTTACTGTCAACTTTCTATACTTGATCTTACTAGATCAAGTGAAAAAGGGCAGCATTAGCTAATTTGAAACTTATCACTCTTACCTTCCCTAGGGCACTATTAAATAATTTTTGAAATAGACAAAATGAAAACAGCAGAAGGAAAAAAAATGGAAAAGAAACAGAAAAGCCTGTATAATTAACAGCACTGCTGAAAGGTGGTTTTCCCTGGGTTTTGAGAAAACTTACTAAAAGCCAAAAGATTTCAACCTGGGTTATGGTCACAACAACAAACAGCAATTCACACTTTAAAGGGTTTATAAAGGGCTTTAATCACAAAAGCCTTGAAAAGTAGGTAATGGAAGTACTATCCCTGCATAAGATATCACAGGATCAGAAATTTAGGGTTGAGAGGGTACTTAGAAATTATCTAGTCTAACGTCTTGATTTTACAGATAAAAAGACTCAGACCCAGGCAGACGAAGTGATCTGCCTAAAATGAAATAGCTGACAGCACTGGATTTTGACCTGGTTCCTTCCTATAATTCCAAATCTAGTGTTCTTTCCATTGTACCATGAGAAACTTAAGTGACATTAAACGATTTGCCCAATGTTATTGTCAGAACTGGGATTAAAACCCAGGTTTCCCGTACCTAGATCTAGAAATCTTTCTACTACCCCATAGCTACCTTTAGGCACCAAGAAGCCTTATAAACTAGAATATGATTACCAAGATCTAAGGTCTAATTATCAATGGACTGACCCAAACAAATCAAAATAATAAATAAAAAAGTCATTACCAATTGAAGCTGAGCGCATTTGCTTCATGTGAGTTTCTATGATGTAAGGGTCTCTGGAGCTGTAAGTTCCCAACTCAGGGTAAAAGTTGGACCCAATGTCATCTGGAGGAATGTGGTCGCCCTCTGGATAATTTTTAGCAATTTTGGGATCCCAGTGTGGTAAGATGGGGTGGTTCCAATGTAAATATTTACCATCAAATTGTGGATTTCCATACCAACTATAGTAAAATACATGAAAATTATAATTAGGGGATGGAAGCTCTTCCATGTTTATCTCAGGCACCACAGGAATTTTTAGGCTACTGGCAGCAACACTCTTTATATTCTTGCTGTTTGTTATACTATCATCCCTGACACTGTTTGGCATGTCAGGCTTAGTTTCCAAGTGTACTTTGTGTTGGCGAAGTTCTGGTAGAAGATCAAGTCCAAATGGATCCCCAAAAACAGCTCTATCAGGTCTCAGAGTTTTCAAAGCCATCATCAGGGAGCAAATAAATAAAATAAAAAGTGACAAAATGATGCATGTTCTTCTTCGAAATCTTGCCATGATGACATTATTTTAGAATCCGAAGTGACAAATATCCAGCTGCAATTTATTAAAGAAAAAAAATTAACAAATAGTATTAACAATACTTTCCTATATAATCTAAATTTAAAAATAAATACTTTAATATTCACAGCACTAAGAAACTCATGAAAAAAATGTGTTAATACTTATTTTAAGTAGTAATTTTGATGAAGGTCTGAGACTCATACTTTAATATGAATTGTAAAAATAGTCTGGAGTTGTTAATTTCATTTACATGCTAATTAAATTTAGTAAGGATAAAGTCAAGTCTATCTAACTTTTTAAATATAAACTACTACTAAGACAGGAGGAATCTTATTATCTATGTGTGCTAAAATTTCCCAAGTATTATTTTTAACAGGAAGATCTAATAATTAACAGAAACTACCTATAGGTTAATTAAGTTTGTATTCAAAACCCACATCAAAAGAGATTACTCTGTATCTTTCTTCTATAGAAGAGTCTTCACACTCTATAAATGAACATAATCAAGGGAAAAGATAGCGTTTAATAAAAAGAAAAAAAAGGTGAAAGAGAAGTATTAGTTCCTGATTTGTTACTATCAAGTTTTGAAGTCTCAATGAAAAGTATTCCTAAGAAATGATAATAATTAAATGTTCACAATTTAAAACTTTTTACAAATAATTTTTCAGCATGAAGCTTAAAGTTCCGAGAGTTAATTCAGGGGAAAAAAAAGTTAGCTGATAGCAAACCATTTTGGAAACTGTAATTTTGTTTTTGCTGTAGAGATTTACAAAAAGTATATTTACTCACTGGCTATCTAGAACTTACTATATATGTTCTAAACTAAGAAAGTTAGATTAGATGCCTTTAAGTCTTGCTTACTTAGAAAATTTGGATAGACAAACAACTAATGGAAGGTACAGACTCTTCAATTAATAAACTTCCCACACTCTTAATCTCCACAAAATTTCTCAGCATTCTTCTTCTCTCTCTTTCTCTCTCCTAGCAATCTCAAAGAAAGACTTATTTTATCTCATTCCACCACCTCCATGACCATGTTAAACCTCACTCTTCTAAAAGAACCTTCAGACTCCATCCACTCACTGTTCCCAGTTGCCAGCAAATGTGTAGCATTTTCCCAGTTAACAAACAAATAAACAAACAAACAAAAAACAAAACAAAACAAACAAAAAACAAGGCCTTCAACTGACTGGTCTACACAATCAAGTACTATTCCATCTTTCTGTTCTTTGGGAAAAGCTATCCATATCTAATGCTATGACTTTTTCCCAACTTCTGTCCTTGTGACTGGTTTTCATCGAATCACTCTCACCAAGATCACTAGTTATACTTCTTTTTAGCCAAATAAAATAGTTTTTTCTCCCCCAGTCCTTATCCCCTTGATCTCTTGGTAGCATATATTACTTACCACTGTCTTTCCTGCCTCCTTCACCACATTCTTTTGATTTTCTTCCCACTTCTCTAAATGTTCATTTGCTCTTCAAACTTTTTTTCAGGCTATTAAGTTGCAATCCTTACCCTTTCTTTTGCTGTTCCTTAGCAATCTTACTTGCTACTACTCTTCCAACTACCAACTCTATAAGTAGAATTGTATGTAATATAATATGTCCAAAAGCAAGCTTATGATTTTTCCCAAAAATACATATCCTTTTTGTAAGCTGACTATTTCTGTCAGTAGAACCACCCAGGTTTCCATGTTTTAAATTTTGGTGTTACCTATAACTCCTTCCTCTTCTCTCATCTCTCATGTTAAATTAAATGTAAGTCTAGTTTGTTCTACCTTCATACTGACACTATCCTAATATAAGGCCTTATTACTATGTGCTTTAACAATTACAATTGCTTCTTTTTTTTTAAATTTAGTATTTTAATTACAATAGCTTCTTAACAGGTCTTCATACCTTCATACTCTCCACTGTCCACTCCTAATAATATGTTTAGACATATTTTCCTTAGCAATATAGCTCGTCATATAGCTTATTCTGCTCAAAACTCTTCAATTTTGCTTACAAGTTTAAACTCTTTCCCTAGAATTCTTGTATCATATTTTCCATGATCTAGGAAATTTGCACTACTCAAAGTTCCCTGTACATGCCCTGTACTTTCCCTGGATGTTTATTATATTTCCTGTGTTGTTCCTAATGTTCTCCATTGTTGAAGTCTTGTTGATAAGTTTAATTAACGAGCAATTGATCAGCAAACATTTATTTAGCATTGCGTGGCCTTCACAAGGAAAAGGGACACTTCTTTGTCAGAGACTGGGGAAAGGAGAAGAATTGAGATTAAGGGGTTTAGAGGTAAAGAGAAAAGGAAAAAAAGATCTCAGATGGAATGGCCTCAGTAAAGTAAGAGGCAAGGTCATAAGCTGAGAAAAAGGTGAAAAACAAAGTGTGAGAGCCTTGAGGAGGGAACACTTGGAAAGAGCTTCCATAGGGAGTGAGATATGGAATCATTTAAGGAGGAGAGTGGATAACATGACTTTGTAAGTTACCAAGTCAATACTGTAATGAGATTTTTTCTACCTTCTTTTATCAGATGAGGTGAATAGTAGGAGCAATGCAGAGTATGGTTTAGTTCTGAGAACAGATGAGCAGCCACAGGACAGAGGCAAAGTATTTGAGAAAACAGTGAAGAGCCGAAATGACTTACCAGTAGCTTGAGAGAAAAGTGAAGTTAGGGCTTCAGAAAGCACTGCAGGGTAGAGAGATTTAAGGTCTCAGTGAAGGTGAAGAATTAGGAAAAATGAGGCATAGAGAAAGGCAGAATGATAAATGTTTATGGTCAGATGGGGGGAATGTCAGATTTTCTAACTGGAAGTGGAACACATCGGTAATGATGAAATCTATTGTGTAACCATCCCTATCTGTGGTTAAAGAAGTCTGAAGGAGTGGGTCAAGGGAATAAGGAATATGTCTTCCAAGTGCTTTAAACATTTTCATTCTCTATAGTTATGGGCTTCCATTTACTGATACAAATGCCCCATCTGCCTTTCCCAATTTGTTTCTTCTATCACAGGAAGTCCTTTATACTGGAGTACCACATTTGTTTAATTATTCCCCAATGATGAGCACCTAGTTAGTTTCTATTTCTTATCGACCAAAAAAAAAGACTGCTAGGAATATTCTTATGTACAAAAATATTTACAGTAGAGCAGTTTTGGTAGCAAAGGACAAGAAAATACAAATGGGGACTCACTGATTAGAGAATGACAGAACAAACTGTAATATATGAATGCAATGGACTATTATTGCATCATAAGAAATACAAATATGAAGAATTCAGATAAACTTGGGAAGAATAATATAAAGTGATACAGGGAGACATAAGCAGAACAAACAGAACAACTAATCAATGATAATAATAATGTTAAAGTTAACCCAGTAAAATTTCAGAACTCTGGTAATGCAGTGACTAATTATGACTTTGGAAGACTAGGTAATAAAGGATGCCTCTTGCTTCTCAGCAGGCAAGTAATGAATAATGAAGGTATAAAATAATGCATGCATTTTTAGACATTGGTTTTACTTGATTGCATTTTTTTTTTGAAGAGGTGGTTTGGGGATATGTGTGTGTGGGAATCTTTAAAAAGATACATTAATACAAAAAGAAAGAGCAATAAAATTTTTAAAGGACAACAATCACTACCATCATCACCACCACAACAAGCCCATAACTATAGAGAATGAAAATGTTTAAAGAACTTGGAAGGCATTATTCCTCATTTTACCATTAACTTATATTGTCTCCCAAATTTTCTACCCCTATCTTATTCTTGGTCTCGTTTTCTTAAGTTCATCCTAAGTGTAACCAGATATGTAGTTTGTAGGTAAGTTTTAGTATTTTATTATATCACTGTAGTAGTTCACTGGTTTGGAGAAAAGTTTTATTACTACTAGTAGTAGTATAAAAGGTTTATTATTACTATTAATAAAGTTTATTTAATTCTCTCACCTGAATTTTAAGGATCTTACTATACAGAATATCCCAAAAGTCTTAGTGCAGCTTTAAGCTTATTAGTTTAAAAGTATTAGAAGGGGTGGGCAAAGGTGGAGAAGGACATAGTTAGGGTTAAGGTTAAGGAAGACAGAAATCCTCCTGAGAGAAGGTTAGGGATAGTTTTCTCTTAAATGACTAATTATGAGTTTAGAAAAAGAATAAGGGGAGAAACAGAAAAAGCCATAGCTGTAATAGTGGGTAGCAGATGAACAGTGAAGCTCACAGTTTCCAAGAGGTATTACTGAAAGAGCTTACTCAGGCCTTGGTCTGCTCTTCCTTTTACGTAGCCAGTAGGAGGGGCCACATCTTCAGCTACTGGCCCTTGGTTCCTCAGCTGCTCCATACAGATAGTTTTTCCCTTGGCCTATACCCTCATCTTTCCTTTTTCTTTCCAGTGTCTGTGCTTATAGATTGTAGTAATTTTAGGAGTTGAAGTTTTAATAGCTTAAAACTTCACAAAGACTTTTAAAAGAGGATTCTGCATATACAAGGCAGTTAGTTAGGTGGAACAGTAGAGATAGCGCTGGGCCTAGAGTCAGGAAGACCTGAGTTCAAATGTAACTACATACACTAGCTCTGTGATCTTGGGCAAGTCATTTGGACAAGAAACTTAATCTGTTTGCCTCAGTTTCCTCAACTATAAAACAGGGATAATAACAGAACCTACTTCACAGGACTGTTATGAGGATCAAATGAGATAATATTTTTAAAGTGTTTACCACAGTATTTAGTACACTGTAAATGCTATAGAAATGCTTCTTCCCTTCCCTTTCTCCCTATACAGGTATATTTTCAAACTCCCCAAAATGCATTACCATGTTTGGGCTCCCCTTACCGTCATTATCAATATAACCATTATATAAGTGAACAAACTATAAATACAACTTAAAGGTTATCCTATTCTGAGCAGATAAAATGTTGATAATTCATCAACAATTAGGCATATGCCAATAATCACTTGAGAAATGAACGTATTTGTCTTTAAACTCAGAAGTTGAAGTACTAACCTACTCAGAATCAATCAGTATTTTCTTCTACCCTCCTATGCTTGTTTACTAGCCAGAGGATTCTAAAAAACATAACACAGAGCATTAGTATTAAATGTTTACTTTATATCCTTTGTCTCCTCTCTGCCTATAAATACAAAGTATTAAAAACATTAACACCTATGGCATTTAGTTTATCAGTTATTTATTGAGTATATTCTATGTGCCCAACACTATATAAAGTGCTGTGAGAGGGATATTAAAAACTATGCAAGACGTGTCCCAGTCCTCCAAGAGCTTGTCTCAGTTGTGTCCTATTTTCATGACCCGTTTGGGGTTTTCTTGGCAAAGATAACTGCGTGATTTGCCATGTCCTTCTCCAGCACATTTTACAGATAAGGAAACTAAGAGCTTATAAGACTTACATGCATACAAAATAATTTGAAAATTTAAAACATTACAAAATAAAATACACTATAATTTATACAGAAGTAGAGAGAAGTGAGAGATGAACCAAGGATAGTGTAGTTGAAGTTAAGATGATCCTTAAAGGATGGACAGGCATTAGGGATTAAAGAGGTTATTTCAGGAAGGAAGCAGAAAATAGCATAAACAAAGGCATAAGTGCAATAACATTCATGAGGTATGAAGGAGAAAATGCTAACAGAAATGGAAGAACAGCATTACAGAGGAAGAAACGGGGTTGGATAATTTACAGGGATAGGTGGAAGTATGGAGAGCCTTGAAAGTCAGATGGATAAACTGTGACTTGCTATGACATGCAATGTGAGACATCATGGCAGAGTAGATAGAAAGCTAACTTTCTAATTAAGTTGAGTTGGTGGCAGGTAAAGGAATAGTAGATAGAGTTCTGGACTCAGTCTGGAAAACCTGAGTTCAAATCTACTCTTAAGACACGTAACTAGCTCTTGTATACCCCCATCAATTAAGCTCTGTTTGACTCAGTTTTCTCAACTGTAAAATGGTCATAATAATAACAATACCTACTTCAAAGGATAGTCCTGAGTAGAAAATGAGATAAGAAATGTAAAGTACTTTGCAAATCTTAAATCTCTATGTAAATGCTAGGTATTCTATTCTATTCCATTCTATTCTATTCTATTTTATTTTATGGCTATAGGTCACTTCTAAGACTATCAGTTTCAGGAAAGATGCAAATGTGTATTGGAAAAGAGAATTTCTTCATCAGGAATTCCCTATGCTAATGAAATCAGAGATTCAGTCCAAAAAAAAAAAAAATAAAGACAGAGGGAATGGACAAGTAATATCAATCAATGAAACAAAAGGGAAAAAAAATTATCAAGCATATTCTAAGTGTCAGGCACTCTACTAGGTAATGGGGATAGAGAGAAAAAAATGAAACTTAATCACTACTATCAAGGAGTTTTCATTCTATTTTGGGAGACAACATGTAAGGGGGGCTGGGGTGGGAAGGGCACAGTTATCAAGCACCTACTATGTGCCAGGCACTGTGCTAAACACTTCATAAATGTTATTTAATTTGATCCTTACAACAACCTTGGGAGATAGATGCTATTATTATTCTGATTTTATAGTTGAAGAAACTGAGGCAGACAGAGATTACATGATCTGCTCAGGATTACACTGCTAGTAAGTCTGAGGTCAGATTGAACTCAAGTCTTCCTGACTGTAGGCCCAAGGCTCTATCCACTGTGCCATCTAATTTACATTTCTATATTGCCCCCTTTTTACACTTTGCCACCCCAGATGCTTTCTGTATACAACAATTAAAATTAGTCAAGAAAAACAAAAAAATACAATGGCTACTTCAGAAAATAAATGTCCCCTTCTTAATTTGTATAACACCCTTCAGCTAAGAAGTTGGGAGCATTCTTCATCATCAATCTTTAGAAGAAAATATATCTGGCTAAGTTAAGTTCATTGCATTTCCCATCTCCAAAAGGAAGGTTATGACCCATCCAAGGTTAGTACAATAATTCCTCATTCTGAAGGGATTATGGTATTGATCAGAGAGCAAAGGTCTTTATGATTATTTCAGGTCACTTGTGATTACCTAGGAAAGAGCACTTGAGTAGACAAAGAAGAAATTAAGTAGTTTCAGGAGATTAAATGACTATTTTCTGTTAAGAATAGAATGTTAACCCTAAAGCATATTGTTTCATACTGCGACCTTTCCCTGGTTTAAGATAGCTATAAATGTTTCTTGAAATTATCTTAGCCCACTACAATCTATTTGACTTTTCACTTGTCCCTCCTATTTTTTGTCCATACCACAATATCCAATCCTTTGACCTCTCAATTCTCTCCCAGGCTACACTAGCCATTCTTTCTTCTTTTCCCCAGCTGGAACTCCTGGTGAACCAATTAAACTCTATACTGTCCTCTTGAATCCCAGCCCCCTTATCATTTTACCATTTATGCCCTGCCAAGCCTCAGCCTTAGATCACTCCCACCATTTGCCACATGTGCTCTTACACATGAGCTACTGAATGAAGGAGAAAATCACAGACCATTCTGATTGGGTGTACTAAAAATTTGTTACACAACCTCAACTGGGCCCACACTGCTGATAAGCAATTCTTCTATACCTGCCTTATGAACTCACTATCCCACTTTTCACAACAGTTCTTTGAAATCTTTTCAATCCCTTCTCAAACCTTCCATTGTCCCCTCTCTCTTCACCTCCCAGTTGAGAACCTTGCCTCATATTTTACAGAAAAAAATTTAGGTTTTTTTAGTTGTGAGCTCATCTTTCATCTTCCTCATCTCATATCACTCACATGTTTTCTGCCACCTTCACTCATTTCATATGATGAGGTGGCCTTACTTGCGCCTTACCAAGGCTAACACCTCTACCCATTTAAGGGATTTCATTCCATCCCCTTTTCCAACAGATTGCCCCCTTTATCATTCCCATTCTTATTTCTTATTTTCAATCTCTCCTTGTCTACTTGCTCATTCCCTACTGCTTATAAACATACCCACATATCTCTCATCCTCAAAAAACCTTCAGCTGATCCTTCCATACTCACTATTGTCTTATATCTCTTCTGCCCTTTGCAGTTAAACTCCTTGAAAAGATTGTTTACAACAGGTGTCTTCTACTTTCTCTCCCTTCATTCTCTTCTGAACCCCTTAAGATCCTGCTTCTGACCTTATCATTCTACTGAAATTGATCTCTCCAAGGTTACCAATGATAGTTACCTGACTTCTCTCTTACCATTGCACTTTGATGACTGAGAGAATAAAGCTGACAACTTTGTGCAACTACTTCACTTAAATCCAATTCATATGAGAGTCAAGACATCATCTGTGATATCACTGGTTCTCTTCAAAAATGAAGGATGAACGACAGCTGAATCCAAAACAATGTTGAAATGTCTCATTGTTGCATTTTCTTTGATCAAACTATCTGTTTCTATTATATTTTTGACCTGCCTATTCTTTAAATTAGTTATCCTGAACCCAATTAATTTATAACCCTTTTTTTAATGGCCCTTTATTGAACATAATGCTTACTACATTACAGTCAATAAAGGATATATTTAACATGTCTTTCTCAATTTGTAGGTTTTGTATTCCTTAAAACAAACTCATATATTTTGTAAATGTATCACTGAATGTTTAAAACTAGGTATAGTCCTTTCTATTCCTATTTAGTAGTCATTACAGATCTATCATATCTAATTTTTCTAAAATTTTATTCAAGTTCTTAAATTTATTTTTTAATTAAATCTGTCTAGATCTTATAGTGGTGTAATGAGGTCCCCAGTTATTATGGTTTTATTATTTCTTTCTGTAATTTATCTTTTGCTTTAAATAGTTAGATGCTATGCCCTTTGGTGCTTATATATGAAGTATTGATGTTAATTCTTTTCCTTTCATGCCTTTAATGACAATGCAGTTGCCATGTTTATCTCTTAGGCAAGTCTATTTTTGCTGTGGATTTGTTTGACATTATAATTGCTAACTGCTATTCCAGCTTTTCTTTTTCTTTCTTTTTTTCTTTTTCTTTCTTTCTTTTGTTTTTGAATACAGTTGAAATAATAGATTTTGCTTCAATTCCTTATTTTATATCTGGGTGAATCATTATTGTTCCAGTGAGTTTCTTATAATCAAAATTTTGTTGGATTCTGACTTCTAATCTGTTCTGCTACCTTGATCCATTTTATAAGAAAGTTCAACATGCAGTTATAAACTGTTAACTCTGTATTTCCCTCAATCTCTTTCTCTCATTTCCTCTCTTTTCGCCTTTACAAAGAAGAAAAGAATGGTGAAAGTGGAGTCTATCAATACTACTGATCCGTTTGAAGCAATCTGCTTCCATTCCCTGTTATCTCTTCTCTTCGCCTTACCATGAACCCAATTACAAGTTTTTACCATTTCTTTTAAGCTTCATCATCCATTCTCTGAAGTAGGAGTTTGTTTTCCTTATGACCAATTCTCCCCTTGATCTATCCTCTTTCTTATTTCTTCTTCTCCCACTTCTCCCGGGTTCCTATAGAGGTGAGTATATTACACCAAACTTTGTGTGTCTGTGTGTGTTTGTGTGTGTATGTGGGTGTGCGTGTATTTTGAGGTTAGAAAGCCCACTTTCCACAAACATTTCCTCCTTGTTTGTATAGCTTCTATTTATATACTCTGATATATATGAAATTGTAAACCTTCTCTCTCCCATTTTCCGTGGTATATTCATTTTTTCCTTCCCTTATCTTTCTGCTTTTAAGTTGATCAAAACATACCGAAACCATTCCCAGGCCCACTATCTTACTAAATTCTCTCTATGACCCTTGACAACATTAGGGTTTAAACGTAGGTCTTCCTGACTCCAGGGCAACTAGGTGGCACAGTAGAAAAAGTGTCAGGCCTAGAGGCTGGAAGACTCAACTTCCTGAATTCAAAGCTGACCTCAACATTAACTACCTCTGTGACCCAGGGCAAATCACTTAACCCTGTTTGCCTCAGTTTCCTTATCTGTAAAAATGTGCTGGAGAAGTAAATGGCAAACCACTCCAGTATCTTTGCCAAAAAAACAAACAAACAAATGGAGTCATGAAGAGTTGGACATGACTGAAAATCA